ACACCAGCATTCCAGTGATGTAAAGAAATGCTTCCTCCTTTCTCTTCCAGTGCGGGGTGTCCTTCGAGGAGGTGGCTGTGTATTTCACCAGGGGGGAGTGGGCCCTGCTGAGCCCACCCCAGAGAGCTCTGTACAAGGAGGTCATGCTGGAGAATTTTGGGAACGTGGCCTCTCTAGGTGAGGATCCTCTTCTCTCCGGCTGTGAGGAGGGACGGCAAGGAAGTCCCTGCTGCAGAAGGATGTGGTCAGGCTGTCTGCCCTGGGCCCAGTGGCCGATCTCTGCCCTTTTCCCTGATCCTTCCATTGATGTGGGCCCCTGCCTGGCACTCCTGTGGCCGGACCACGTGAGAGGGCATCGGAGGAGGTGCCAAGAGAGGCTTGGCCTGGGGAAGGTGGGGAGGTCTAAGCAGGGGCTTCCCTCCAGTCTGGGCCTTCCCTTGCCTGGGGCCGAGATGCGACTGTGGAGGGAAGCCAGCTGGCTTCTCTGCTGCTCTACTTCATTCTCAGCTGTCAATTTCACTCTGAGACGGGAAAAGAGCCCCGACAGTGTACTCCCGACACCCCTCTGACTTCCCTGCGGTATGTTTCTGGAGGGACAGAGTCAACCTGGCTTGGAATGTGTGTGCGCTCAGGAGGATCATACTTTTCTTTGTTTTCCCTGATAAACAGGCCCTCAGATGGTCAAGCCCGACCTCGTATCCTGGCTGGAAGGAGAGGGAGGGGAGCGTCTCCTGTTCTCCAGTGACGAGGAGGGCAGTTGCCGGGGAGCGTGTTAGGTGTGGGGGGGGGGGGGGCTGTGTGTGTGTGAGCAGCTGGCTCTTGTGGGAGGGAGGGAGGGGTGCTTCTCCCTTCAGTGGGGATGGCCAGATTGACAGGTACCCCTGTTGCTGTTGGTGGGGCAACTCAAGGTGAACGGAGAGGGAACCATCCCTTCCAAAAGAGGCTTCTCTTTTTGGAAGTAAGCTTGACTCTTAATTTCTTTCCCATGAATTGCTGAAAAAAGAGGTGCTACAGCTGAAACCAGGGGGGGGGCACACCCCTGCTCCTTGAGTATACCGGACAGCCCCATAACTAGCAAATTTTTGTTTTGGGGGGCAGTGTTTTGATCAGAGGAGGGGGCCCAGTGCCCCTTCCCGTGGTGTGGCACCACAGTCAGCCTGACCTCCACCCTCAGCTCCCTCCCAGAGCCGGGAGAGGTGAGGCATAAGGCGGCTGGGCTGGCCATGGAGGTGCCGTGCATGGACTCCTCGGCGCACCAGAGTACAGGCAGGAGCGTGCCTGGCTGGGGCAAGAGGAGGCGCCCACCGACCTCCGGGCCTGGCCAGGCTTACCTGCTGGCGGGCAGCTCGGCGGCTGTCTGGTGGCCAGTGTTCCCTCTAAGCTGAGTTAGTGTGAGCTGGCTCACAGTTTTTCAGCCTCCGGCTCACACATATTCATCTTCGCTCAGGAAGGAGGGCTCCAGAGCAAACTCATTGATGCAGTGGCCAAATCGCATGCTCACAACTTTAATGCCCTTGGCACACAAAGTAGAATTGTTGCTCACAAGACTCCACAGCTTACAGGGAACATTGCAGGTGGTGGCAGCCCAAGATGGAGGCACCTCCCGTGCCCTCCATGCTCACTGCCTGCCAGGCCCCAGGCCGCTGTCTCATCCCAGCCTCACTTCCGCTGCTGCTGCTGCTGCTGCTTGTGCCACCTCTCCCTCTGACATCACCGCCCTTGTCCTCTCCGCGGACAGGCAATCAGAGGGAGGGGGCCCGGGTGGTAGGGGGAGCCGAGGCTCGGGGAGGGGGGCCCGTAAAAACCACTTTTAATTTGAATTCTTTGTCTTCACCCGCAACAGTTTCCAAGTTTAAAAAAAACCTGGTCCCCTATTTTAAATTATTTGGCAAAGAACAGAGAAATTCCAAAAGTATTTTATACTTGTTATCAGGGCTCTTTTTGTAGAAAAAGCCCAGCAGGAACTCATTAGCATAATAGGCCACACCCAACACCAGAAACTCATTAGCATATTAGGCCACACCCCTGACAGCACCGCTCATTAGCACATTAGGCCACACCCCCATGTTACCAGAAGTGTGGTCATCCAGCCAGCCGGAACTCCGTTCCTGTGCGTTCCTGCCCAAAAATAGCCCTGCTTGTTATATATAATTTAAGGCCCTTTTCTTTGTTTCTGTTTTGTTTGTTTTACCGGTGTTGCTGTACCATTGTTTTAGTTTTTAATTTTTGGACGCAATTAAAAAATTTAAAAAACCCAAACCACTAGGGGGGAGGGCGCTGTGGGCCCCACGGGCCTGATACTGGAAGAGAGTAGAGAACATGTGTTCCCAGATGGTCGGGTGTTCTTGCGAGGCTGGGAGGAGGGGTCCTTCCAGCTCTGTTGGGTGGGAGGAAAGTTCTGCCGCCTGTCTCCTTTCCATGTGGTCATGCAGAAAATCCCAGCGGGAGTCAAAAGTTCAAGGTACTAAACAGACAGGGCCAAGGAAAAGAGGAGACACTGTAGATTAACTTTTTAATATATATGTAAATAACTGGTTTGTGTGGGAATAGCCCCACGGGCACTGCTCCACCTTGCCTTCCTGGGCACCAGCGGCTGTCCAAGTGCCCGCTTGGCAAAGTGTAACTCTCTTGGCTTCCCCTGTCCTTGGAGGGGCTTGCTCTCCCTCGTTTGCTACACCACTGCCACCTGCTGTCTTCTCTAGGAATTACCTGCTGCAAGGACCAGGGTTCCTGCCTTCCCTTCCCTGCGCTGCCATCTTAAGGCCCCGTCTTGTGCTTGGGTCTCCCACTACCCAGCATCTGGTTTCCATGGGAAATGTTTGCTGCACTTGCACATCACTGGGGGGGGGGGGAGCAACTTTACAACTGACCACCCCCCTTCTTCTTGAGCCAGTTTTGTATAGTACGTTTGTGGTGTACAGATCAGCTACCAACAGAAAAAGGTATAAAACAGCTCACATATTCTTGGCACAGCAGAAGATTGAGCAAGGAATCCAAAGAAAGGTGTAAACATGCAGTTCTTCTGTGCCACGCTCTGTACATGCCCAGGCAGTTCCTGTTCTAAGGCAGGCTCTTTAACTTTGAAGTTACAGAGGTCACAAACGTCCCCTTCCCCTTGGAGTCTTTGTTCCTGGCAACGGTGACCTTCAGCAGGAGCCTGGCTGGGAGAGCTCCTTCTCCCTTGATGCCGTCAGCCAGAAGGAGCTTCCTCCCTCCCTGCCAGGGGTTTTTATTATCTCCGTTTGCCCACTCGCCTATCCGTCAAAGAAGCCTTTCCTGTAACTTCTGGGAAGAGACCTTCCAGCATCTTGCATCTCTTCCCTGACAAGTGACAGTTTCTAGCAAGACACCTGAACAGACCCCTTCATTGTCTCCAGCCAGGCAGACCATTTGCATTTCTCAAGGACGGCTGGGTCAAGGCTGGAGAGCCATTGACTTGCCTTCCCTCCTCCTGCCAGATCTCCCCTATGAGAGAGAGAAAAATGGAAACGTAAAGGTGAAGGTTTCATAGGTCCTTTCCGCACTAGACCTTAAATCCTGGTTCAACCCTTTCCCTGAACTTCTATTCTACACGACACACGAGTTCAACTCTGTAATTATCTCGGAGTATTTTTACATTCTACACTACGCTTGAGTTCACCCCGTAATTATCTCGGAATATTTTTTGTTCCCACGTTACATTGAGGTCACCCCGGTTTCGCCCCACACTTGTCCCGGGATAAACGGATGCTGTTATAACCAGGGATAAATGCAAGGTGTGGTGTCCCGAGTTGAACTCTGATGAGATCCAAGTGCAGAACGGACCATACAGCTTGAACTACAAAATTAAAATGCATTTCTCTCTAGGGTTCAAGAGTGTGTTGTAATAGCACAGAAGCATACCGTTTGCAAGGACGGCTAAGCAGTTTCCCTTGTCCTCTTCTGTCTTGCTCCGTTTTTGAACTTTGTGTGAAAACTTCTATCACTGTGTCACTCTTAATTCCCAGTACTGCAGTCAGAAACCGTAAAATGGAATTCTTTTCCAATTTGCTGAAAAAGCAGAAATCGTTCCCAACCTCGGGTGGTCTGGTTCTGGTGTTGCAATCCTCCAGGTGGCTGGAGATCCCTTGGTATCACCACTCATCCCCAGGCAACAGAGATCAGTCCTCCTGGAGGCAGTGGCCACTTTGGAAGGTGGGCTCTAGGGCACCATACCCCACTGAACTACCTCCCCTCCCCAGACCCCGCCCTCCTCAGCCTCCACCCCCAAAATCTCCAGTTATTTCCCAGCCTGGAGCTGACAACCCTACCTGGTTCTGCCCACAAGGCCAAAGAGGCTATCAAGCAAATATCCAGAAGGGTGGGCCTCTCTGTCACACGTGGTGTGTCTAGCATCGCAGGCAGGAAATCCCTGTTGCCTTTTAAGCACCAACACAATTCCATCATCCCCTACTGCCCTGGGAAGAGCAGATCATCAGGAAATGTGTGACCTGTGTCACGGCCTAAGGGCAAACTTACCAGCTGGTGGCTGTTTTGGGGGGCAGGTCTGACCTGGAGTTTGGGTCAAGGAAGGATCTGTTTGGCAGTAACTGTCCCAATGAAATACAATTCTCTGATTAGTCACCAGAGATGACAGGCCAGTCAGTACCATTTTGCATGTCACAGGACCATATTGCCGAGCAAGAGGTTTTATGCTAGATTCTCTTTACAGTAATCATGCCTGTTTCTCTTTCTTTCAGAAAAGTATGGGAGTCAGCGGATGAAACGAAAGAGGATGGAGTGACAGAGAAAGAGGATACCTATCCAGTTGTAAAAGAGGACATTGAATATTGTAACGTGCAGAGAAAGGAGGAAAGAAAAGACCCACCAAGGAATATTTCCTGTCTTTTAGAAGGTTATGTCTCTTTTGAAGATCGAAAAGTGTACAAAAGAGCCAAGAGAAATGAGTGCACTGGAAATGAAAGTTTTCCAGAAAAATCAGGCATTAATATTCCTCAGAACATCCATAACAGAAAGAAAATATTGAAATGCCTGCAATGTGGAAAAGCCCTTCAGCAGACAGAAAACCTTACTTCCCAAAACTTAATTCATACCATGGAGGAAAAATGCAATTGCCCAGAGAGTACAAAAAGGTTCAGTCAGACTTCACACCTTTCTGTACATCAAAGAAGCCACACAGGGGAGAAAACATATAAGTCTTTGGAGTGTGGGAAAAGCTGCAGTCAGAGTAGATTACTTACTTCCCTTCAAAGAATTCACACAGGAGGAAAACCATGTAAAAGCCAGGACTGTGGGAAAAGGATTAGACAGAGTGGTCATGTTTCTGTTCATGATAGAATTCACACAGGGGAGAAAAGATATAAATGCCTGGTGTGTGGAAAAAGATTCACTCTCAGTACGACCCTTACACTCCATCAGAAAATTCACACAGGAGAGAAACCATATAAATGCCAGGTGTGTGGGAAAAGCTTCAGTTACTATAATTACCTTACTTCCCATCAAAGAATCCATACAGGGGAGAAACCATATAAATGCCAGGAGTGTGGGAAAAGCTTCCGTTGGCCTGGAAACCTTAGTTCCCATCGAAGAATTCACTGCAGGGAGAAAAGATTTAAATGCCTGGTGTGTGGAAAAAGATTCACTCACAGTACAAGCCATAAACTCCATCAAAGAATTCACACGGGAGAGAAACCATATAAATGCCAGGAGTGTGGAAAAAGCTTCCCTTTCAGTGCAAGCCTTACTTTCCATCAAATAATTCATACAGGGGAGAAGACATATAAATGTTTGGAGTGTGGAAAAAGTTTCGCTTACCCTGGAAAGCTTACTTCCCATCAAAGAATTCACACAGGGGAGAAACCATATCAATGCCAGGTGTGTGGGAAAAGCTTCAGTCACAGTGGCAACCTTACTGTCCATCAAAGAATTCATACAGGGGAAAAAAGATATAAATGCCAGGAGTGTGGAAAAAGCTTCACTTCCAATGGAGAGCTTCATTCCCATCAAAGAATTCACACAGGGGAGAAACCATATAAATGCCAAGAGTGTGGACAAAGTTTCCGTCACAGGGGATATCTGACTGTCCATCAAAGGATTCACACAGGGGAGAAACCATATAAATGCCTGGAGTGTGGAAAAGGCTTCATTCACAGTGCAAACCTTACTGCTCATCAAAGAATTCACACAGGAGAGAAACCGTATAAATGCCTGGAGTGTGGGAAAAGCTTCAGTCGCCCTGGAAACCTTAGTTCCCATAGAAGAATTCACACCGGGGAGAAAAGATTTAAATGCCTGGTGTGTGGAAAAAGCTTCACTCAGAGTATGAGCCTTACACTCCATCAAAGAATTCATACAGGAGAGAAACCGTATAAATGCCAGGAGTGTGGAAAAAGCTTCCCTTGCAGTGGACGCCTTACTGTCCATCAAAGAATTCACACAGGGGAGAAACCATATAAATGCCAAGAGTGTGGTCAAAGCTTTGCTTACCGTGGATACCTGACTGTCCATCAAAGAATTCACACAGGGGAGAAACCATATAAATGCCAAGAGTGTGGTCAAAGCTTTGCTTACCGTGGATACCTGACTGTCCATCAAAGAACTCACACAGGGGAGAAACCATATCAATGCCAGGAGTGTGGAAAAAGATTCACTCACAGTAGCAACTTTACTCTCCATCAGAGAATTCACACAGAGGAGAAGAAATATAAATGTCTGGAGTGTGGGAAAAGCTTCCGTTTGCCTGGAACCCTTGCATCCCATCAAAGGATTCACACAGGGGAGAAACCATATAAATGCCAAGAGTGTGGACAAAGTTTCCGCCGTAGTGGAGACCTGAGTGTCCATCAAAGAATTCACACAGGAGAGAAACCATATAAATGCCGGGAGTGTGGGAAAAGCTTCAGTCGCAGTCATCACCTTACTTCCCATCAACGAACACACACAGGGGAGTATCCATATAAATGCCTGGAGTGTGGGAAAAGCTTCAGTCGCAGGAATTACCTTACTTCCCATCAAAGAATTCACACAGGAGAATCCATATAAATGCCTGGAGTGCTGGAAAAGTTTCCATCAGAGTCCACAACTTACTTGTCATCAAAGAACTCATTCAGGAGGGAAACCATAAAAATGCTCAGAGTATAGAAAAACCTTGCATCAAACCAAACTAAATGAGAAAGTTAGAAAGTAAAGCAGTAAAACAGTAAAATACATACAATACATAGTACAGTCAAACAGCCTAAAATATTTTTAGAGGTTAAAACTGCAACCCTGTTCCCTTTACAGAAATGCCATTTCAAGCATTTCTGTGTTGTGGATTGCGTATGTTGGAAAGATTTACATAGGAAAAAGAATGATGGCCAGCAGACACCTGAGGGCCACTGAGATGGCTGCAGCCAGCCGCTAGGACAACAGTGATGCCGCAGGTCCACTCCTTAAAAGAGAAACCGCACAGGCTGGAGACTGCAAAGACGTCCCTGCACTGGGGTCTCAATGGAGGCAAACAAGTTGGCATCCCCACCAACCGTCCCATCCAGAAGACATCATGGGAATGATGGTTTAGCCATGATGGACTGGGGAAACTAACCAACCACATGGTGGCACCTATGGGAATCTGGCCCCATGGGCATACAAGTAGAGGGGTGAAGAGAGGCAAGCCCATGGCACGTGCCCCTTTCCCGTTGAAGGCACAGGCTGCTACCAAACACAATGGAGGTGGTGACACACACAAAAATGGAAGGGGCCCGTGCACCACGAGCAGCCAGTTTGGTGTAGTGGTTAGGAGCGCGGACTCTAATCTGGGAGAACCAGGTTTGATTCCCCAATCCTCCACATGCCGCTGCTGCTGTGGCCTTGGGTCAGTCGTAAAGTATCTTCGGAGCTGTTCTCTCAAGGGCAGTTCTCAAGAGAGCTCTCTCAGCCCCACCCACCTCACAGGGTGTCTGTTGTGGGGAGGGGAAGGAGATTGTGAGCCACTCTGAGACTCCTTCGGGTAGTGAAGGGCAGGGTATAAATCCAATCTCTTTGTCCTCTTCACATCTGAGTAGGTCCATCCAGAAGTAAGCATCGTGTGAAATAATGGGGCTGACCCCCCCCCCATGGAGGTGACACACGGAGGCCAGAAGGAATGTAGGGGTGGCCGCAGGTGCCTGGTAATTGCCTGTGGGAGAGCTACAGTTCTGGGGATGGTCCCAGGGGGTACAGTGAGCAACTCCCTCTGCCACAGCTTGTGGAGCAGGAGGGTGGCCACATAGGTGGGGGCTGTCATGTGGTTATGGGCTTCCACGACAGGTTCACAAACAGCTGCTTTTTGCTCACCTGCAATTCATCCATGGTGACAGCCACCCCAGGAAACCCGTTGCAAGCCTGGTACAATGCTACCCCCCCCCCCTTTAAAGTAGGTTTTAGTTTGGGACAGGGCTTTTTGTGTAGAAAAAGCCCAGCAGGAACTCATTAGCATAGTAGGCCACACCCAACAGCAGAGACCTATTAGCATATTAGGCCACACCCCTGACAGCACAGCTCATTAGCATATTAGGCCACACCCCACATGTTACCAGAAGTGTGGTCATCCAGCCACACCCACCTTTTGCTTCTTATTCTGTTTACTTTGTCAAAACCCTGGGCTTTTTTTGTAGCAGGGACTTCTTTGCATGTTAGGCCACACACCCCTAATGTAGCCAATCCTAATGAGTGTCTGCTGTTAGGTGTGGCCTATTATGCTAATGAGTTCCTGCTGGGTGTGGCCAACTCAGGAGCCAGCCGGAACTCCGTTCCTGGGCGTTCCTGCGCAAAAATAGCCCTGGTAGGGAATGGGAAACATTTTCAGGTTAGGAGTTTGATGAAGACTTCTGACAATCGCCACAAGGCAATTCAAATCTCCTGGCAGCTGCTGCATGCTATGACCGAACAGTGGCCCAATTTCTGGGTACCCACCCAAATCTCAGTCAGGAAGAGAGGAGGGAAAGTGAAAGGAGAGAGGGTGTGAAGAATGAATCTGCCTATGGAGAGAGAGGGGAAAGAATGCAAAACCCTATGACTGCCACAGGAGGTGGCAGTGGCTACAAGCACGGACGGCTTCAAGAGGGAATTGGATAAACATATGGGGCAGAGGTCCATCAGTGGCTATTAGCCACAAGGTATAAATAGAGACTCCATGGCAAGTGATGCTCTGTATTCTTGGTGCTTGGGGGGGGGGGTTCAACAGTGGGAGGGCTTCTAGTGCCCTGGCCCCACTGCTGGACCTCCTGATGGCACTTGGTATTTTTGGCCACTGTGTGACACAGAGTGTTGGACTGGATGGGCCATTGGCCTGATCCAACATTGGCGTCTCTTATGTTCTTATGATTCCGTTTGGAGCCTGCCAAGGTAAAATCAGCCACCTCAGGCAAGGTGGGGAAGACAACAGATAGAGCCCCAGTATCTTCCCAAGTATGCAAAGGGCAGTAACAGAGGGGCCTTCTTTATGTTTTTTGGATATGCACGCCATGACTTCAGTATCCCTGATGAAGGTACATATGGTCTCTTATCACAAGGGGACCAGAGGAAGTTCTTTGAGACATGGCGAAGTTTGAATATAACTCCTGAACAGAGCAGGGAAAAGTTCAGGGATTTAGAAAAGCACAGCACAGAGACATTTTCCCAGATGGGACTGTCGCACAGAGGTATTAATAATCCTCAGCGGAACAGGCTTCCACGGGAGGTGGTGGGCTCTCCCTCTTTGGAGGTATTCAAACAGAGGCTAAAAGGCCATCTGACAGCAATACTGATTCTGTGAACTTAGGCAGATCATGAGAGGGTGGGCAGGAAGGGTTGCGTCAGTGCTTAGCTCTCCTGGCCCTTTCTTACACTCCCAGGGAAATGCTGATCACCACTTTGGGGTCAGGAAGCAATTTTCTCCAGGCCGGTTTGACCAGGGATCCTGGAGGTTGGTTGGTGGTTGGTTTTTTTTTGGCCATCTTGTAGCCATGGAGCAAGGGGTCACTGGGGGTGTGGGGGAGAGGTATTTGTGGATTTCCTGCATTGTGCAGGGGGTTGGACTAGATGACCCTGGAGGTCCCTTCCAACTCTTTGATTCTATGTGTATGCCTATGTAGTGTCCATAAACTGTGTAGGTGCAACAGATCATCAAGAAAAGTGCAGGGCTGCCTTTAGTCCTAACAGTTCATTAATGTAGCAGGAGTAACAGGATATTTATTTCTCTGAAGTGACTAGTTTAGCTTCATGAGATTGCTTTCAGAAGTTAATGAGCATTATGAAGACTTATTCCAGGTGTGTTTGTGTATCTTTGTGGTGACCTTGGGGGAATCAGTCCTTTTCTTTAGAGGACAGTAATGTATTCGAGGTAGAAAGATCTATCTCTATTTCTGTCACCTTATCTATAAATGTGTCATGTAAAGGGCCAAGCCAGGCTTCTGCCGCTGGCTTCCATTTAGAGAACATTTTAGGGGAGATATCTCGGGGAGGAGGGAGGGGGCTCCAAAACTTTGCATTGCATTTTGCCAGTCAGCTAAAACCTGATTTCTCTTAAAATTCATGTACTTAAGTTTGAGAAATGTTAGGAGATCCGCTTTTTATTGCATGTGTTTTCTCTGTGATAATAGGACCACTTAGCATCTACATATATCTCTCAAGTTCTTGCCTAATGAACTGTTTCTTATTTTAAATAAAATAACTTGGAAAAGTTCTCTACTTGTTTTTCTGGCTAAGTCTCAAACACCCAGACCCCTCCTATTTCTGTGCTGTAAAAGATAAGTTTCTCTCATAGAGATTATCTTACTTGGATCCAATATTTGTCAGAGATGCTTTAGGCTGGTCCTGCATTGGGCAGGGTGTTGGACTAGATGGTCTGTATGGCCCTTTCCAACTCTATGATTCTATGATTAAATAAGGTTTCTTCAGCTAATGAGAAACATTCTCACGGATCTGAATGGTGCAGACCCCGAAACTGGATACGAATCTGATCTGATAACTTGTGACAGAAGGGTACTGGAAACAACTTTTCGGTCACGGAGAAGGTGGTCCAGACAGTGTTCAAACTTGTAGGCGCAGAACCACTACAACAGTAGTGGTTAAGTGCGTGGACTCTAAGCTGGGAGAACCCGGTTTGATTCTCCACTCCTCCACTTGCACCTGCTGGATGACCCTGGGCAAGCTGTAGTTCTGTCAGAGCTGTCCTTGAAAGAGCAGTTCTCGAAAGAGGTCTCTCAGCCCCACCTACCTCACCCGGTGTCTGTGTTGGGGAGGGGAAGGGAAAGAAGTTTGTAAACCGCTCTGAGACTCCGAGTGAAGGGCAGGGTATAAATCCAATCTCCTCCTCCTTCTGCCTTCCTGCTTTCCAGATCTGTATGAAGAAGCGGCCAAGCAAAGACCCAAGACTCAAGCAGCAGACTCTGTGGGCCAGGTGGTGGAACTGCGAGAGGTTTAAGGGAGAAAGTTTGTTAGGGCAGACAGCCATTTTACGGGAATGGGCTGCAGTTCAGTTGTCCGTGGCCGAGGTTCAGCAACTTGCAGCCCACCCAATTTCAAGTGTAGCAGGGACCCGGGAACCTGACGCACTCACCACCAAGAGTCCTACTGAGGAGCTGGCACCTGTGGAACTACCTGCTCCAGTGACTTCATCGCCTTGAGTTTCAAGATGCTCAGTTAAGCGACTTGAGTTTTCATAAAGTCTGTGAAGAAGCTGGCAATCTTCCAAGGACTCTCCGAGGGACTGTACTCTAGATTTGTGTGGACTGGAGGGATTGTTGCACAGGTACCATGAGCCCAGTAGCTTCTCTTCCTCATAGAGAAAAACGTTTGGTCTTAGCCCCATGATACAGCTTTCTCAAGGCACCAGGGAACTGCCCTCCCGAATCACCCGAGGCTCTATCCCTAAATCTCTGGGATCTTCCCGACCTGGAGTTGGCAACCTCAGAGCCCCCGCCACAGCGCCTTTGAACCGGTGGTATACTATGTAAGGGTTAAAGTGAGGGAGCCAGAAGTCCTAGAGATAAATATTGGGGGGAGTCGCTTCCTGCTCCTTCCCTGGCCGAAG